ATCTTCATGTATAATGCATGCTCATAAGGACACTTTTGAAAAACATTCTCATGTAAATATTTGTCAATTCTAGCATTCCATGCGCGCGGTGCTTGCTTTAATCCATAGAGAGCTTTTCTCAACTTGTACACTTTATCTTCATGTCTCTTCTTCACATACCCCAAAGGTTGTTCAACATAAATCTCCTCTTCAAGAAATCCATTCAAGAATGCCGATTTCACATCAAGTTGATAAATCTTCCACTTGTTTTGTGCCGCCAAAGAAATCATCAACCTAATTGTTTCCAAACGAGCAACGGGAGCAAATACCTCGTCATAATCAATTCCGACCCTTTGCTTGTAGCCTTTAGCAACTAACCTTGCCTTATATCTTTGGACTTCACCATTTGCATCCTTTTTGGTTTTATACACCCACTTCACACCAATTGCTTTTTGACCTTGGGGAAGACTAACTAGTGTCCATGTATCATTCTTTTCAATTGCTTTCATTTCTTCATCCATTGCTATTCTCCATTTCTCTTCTTGAATCGCTTCTTCAAAACATAAAGGATCACAATCCATGAATAGACAAAACAAATTCAAGTTACCTTCAAAATTTTTCGTAGATTCATATATCTCTTGCAAACTTCTCATTTTCCTTGGTCTTTGACTTGAACTTGAATCTAATGATGATGATGATTCACCTGTAGAAGATGAGGGGGATCCATGTGGAGGTGTCTGTGGCTCTCTTTGGACTTCCCTTGGTTCTTCAGACTCTTCTTCTTCAAGCATAAGTTCTACTTCAGTGGCTGAAATTTTTCCTTTCCAATCCCACATGTCTTCCTCTTCAAAGATAACATCTCTAGTCATGATTACTTTCTTGGTAATGGGGTTGTATAACTTGTACCCCATTGTTCTATCACCATACCCAAGAAAAATGCACTTTTCACCTTTATCATCAAGTTTTGTCCTCCTTGCTTCGGGAATCTTCGCATAAGCAATGCATCCAAAAACTCTAAGATGGGCTACACTCGGCTTGAATGAACACCAAGCTTCCTCCGGAGTCTTAAAACGAACACTTTTGGTTGGACATCGATTCAACAAGTACACTGCACATGCTACAGCTTCGGCCCAAAATTCTCTAGGCAATCTCTTTCCTTTCAACATGCTTCTAGCCATATCAAGAATAGTTTTATTTTTTCTTTCTGCAACTCCATTCAGTTGAGGTGTATAGCTTGGCGTGAATTGATGCACAATTCCATGCTCCTTGCAATAGTCTTCAAATAAATCGGAACTATACTCACCACCTTGATCGGATCTCAACCTCTTGATAAAATAATCACTTTGCTTCTCAATAAGATTCTTGAACTCCTTAAAAACTTCAAACACTTCGGACTTCCTTCTTAAAAAATACACCCAAGTCTTCCGGCTATAGTCATCAATAAAAGTAAGAAAGTAGCAATTGTTACCATTTGACATAGGCTTCAAAGGACCACAAACATCGATGTGCACAAGCTCCAATGGTCGTGATGCTCTCCACTTGACTTCTCTTGAGAAGCTTAATCTTTGATGCTTGCCAAGAATACACCCTTCACATAACTCATCCGGATGATCTATGTAGGATAGACCTTTCACCATTTTCTTGCTAGATAAAAGCTTCAAACCACCAAAATTAAGATGTCCAAGTCTCAAGTGCCACAACCAAGAATCATCTTTAATAATAGCATTCAAACATCTCATCGCATCATGTTGAATATTCAAAGGAAACATTCTATTCTTGGACATTTTCACATTAGCAATCAAATTACCACGAGCATCTTTAATTGTAAGGTGGAGATTCTTCATGCTAATATCATAGACCTTTTCTAAAAGTTGCCCTAAACTCAAAATGTTATTCTTCATATCCGGCACATAATAGACATCCGAAATAAAATCATGATTGCCATCCTTGAGCTTAATAAGAATTTTACCTTTGCCTTTCACTGGAATGTTGGAGGAGTCGCCAAAAGTAACTTTGCCTTGCGCCACTTCATCAAGTTCTACGAACATATGCATCTGGCCACACATATGGTTGCTTGCCCCGGAATCAAGAAACCACATGTTGCCATTATCTTCCTCGGATCCATCATAGGCCAGCAACAAAGTAGATCCCGCTTTATTACTTGATTTCTCAGCATAATTCACATGTTCTTCAACATTTTTACTTGCCCAACATTCATTACTATAATGCCCAAACTTGTGACAATTGAAGCATTCAACATTTCTCTGGTCAAAACTTTGATTGTTGTAATTACCTCTTGCTCTTCCTCGTCCTCTTCCTCTTGAACCATAAGAATTTTGATTTCTTGTATCATTAGTGAATTGACCTCTTCCACCTCTTCCTCTATTAGCGTAGCTTCTTCCACGACCTTCGTAGCCTCTTCCTCGATTGCCATAACCTTTACCTCGTGTTCCATTACCTCTTTCTCTTTGAGATGTACCACCTTGAAATTCTCTGTTTCATCTTTCAAAGAAAACTTGGATTGAAGAGCTTGTTCAAGAGAATTTGGAGTCTTTTTATTAATACGCTGCTCATGTATTTCCAATGTCGCCATCAATTCATCAACACTTGTAGTCTTGAAATCTATGGACTGCTCAATGGCTACAACAACATGCTCAAATTTTGGAGTTAAGGTTCGTATTATTTTTTTCAATAACACGAACGTCATCAATATCTTCTCCATACCTTCGCATTTGATTCACAATCACCAAAGTTCTTGAAAAATACTCCGAAATTGACTCGGCTCCATTCATATTCAAACTTTCAAATTCACCTCGCAATATTTGAAGACGAACCTGAATTGTTTTATCAATTCCTCTATGCAAACTCTTCAAAATTTCCCAAGCTTGCTTCGAAGTGGTCGCGGAAGAAATCTTCTCAAAAGTATTATCGTCAATACATTGGTAAAGAAGAAATAAGGCCTTCTTATCCGTCTTCCTTGATTGCTTAAGCACTACCTTTTGAGCATCATTAAGCGCTTGCTCTTCCTCCGTAGTCGGCCCGATGTAACCTTTTTCAACAATGTCCCAAAGATCTTGCGATTGTAACAACACCTTGATTTGAATACTCTAATTCCCATAGTTATCTTTTCCCAATTTGGGAAATTGGGGTTGAAGCACATTACTCATAGTAGCCATAACAACCTGCTCTGATACCATTTTTGTTGGGAATTAGAAGCAAAAAAAAAAACTACTAAAGAGCACAAAATAAGAGGATGAAAAACTGCTCCACTTCCACACTAATTTCACTCAAGAAACATCTCTATATTTCATCAAATATGATCACAATATCAAGGAATACATGGGGAGCAACTTATCAGAATTTTTCAGCAGTAAACACTCAAGAAAATACAAAGAAATAGAGCTTCTGCTCATGAACAAGCTGCTGTTTTTTTTCAGGCAACAAACACACTGTTTTTCTCACTTTTTCCTCTCTATTTTTCTGCACAGAGACTCTCTATTTTGGGCAGTAACTCCGGCCCCTTTTATAGTGATTTTTCCTAGCCAAAACACTCTAAATTTGGCCACTTTATGGCTGGCTATCCCCAAGAAAAAATTGTTCAACTTTCCATGCAACCATACATGAATAAGTCTCCCAAATACATGAATAGACTTCTCAAAAATATTCTGGACACTTCTGGTATATATCACTTCAAATACCATGACTTTTAATACCCAAAAATACAAAAAAAATACCCCTTAAAAAAAATAGAGTTTATAAAACTAACAAATATAAGTCTGACAAAGGAACTCCTCAATGAGAAGAAGAGCAAGGCTATTCTGGCCATTCCTATCCCAAAGGTTTTAGGGAAAGACAAGAGAATTTGGCAGCCAAGCCCTCGAGGAGTATATACTGCAAAATCAGGCTATTCGTTGGCACTAAGTTTAAAACTGTCTAGTTATATGGAAGCCAGATCATCTCATATACCTAACCTAAAACTTTGGTATGTCACTTGGCATATGAAGGCGATCTTGAATGCCGAATATTTTTGGTGGAAAGCTTGTAATAACGCTCTGGCTACTCAGGAAAATTTATTTAAAAGAAAGTGTGTAGAGTCTCTCAATTGCCAAATTTGCAGAATTAAAGTTGAATCCATTGAACATATTCTCTTTGGATGTGAACGGACCAAGAAGGTGAGGTTTGGATCTGAGCTTGGGTTTCGAATGGAGCTAGAGCCACAACACACGGTCTCATAGTGGACTTCGTCTTTGTTAGAGATTATTAAGGATAGCTCTGATTCTCTAGAGATCATGGGAAAAGTTGCAACGACAGCCTGGGCAATTTGGACAGCCTGGGCAATTTGGAACTCAAGAAACCAAAAGGTGTTTAAACAAGAAGATCCTAATGCCTTTGCCACGATATTAAGAGTGCATAAGCTATGGAGTGAGGTAAATTCACTTGATTAATGTCCGTAAGGAAGTCTAGCTGAGAATAGGTGTCAGCGACAAAGTCAAAGCCCCTTACTACAACTGGGATTCAAACTGAGTTTTGATGGTGCCTTCAAGAATGAAAAAGCTGCTGTGGGGGTGATACTAAAGGACACTAATGGGGTAGTTTTGGATGATATTGCAAAGAGAATACATGTGGTATCAAGTTTACATTCTGAAGTTGCTACAGTCAGGCAAGCTCGCCTTCTTGCGTATACCTCAAAACTATAACATGCTATCATTGAGAGTGACAATATGGAAGTCATCAAATTGAGCTCAATAGAAGGAATTCCAAAATTTAAAGTTTTAAAATTTTTACACAAGTCAAGAGCTCTTAATAGAGCAACTTATTAGGTTACAGTAAATGTAATATCTAGCTCTATTCCATTGAGTTTAGTCAGATGTCCCCCACCTGAGCTTAACACTTTTCTACTTTTTGATTATAATCAATATTTTTCTACTTAAATGAATTACAAGCATTTTTTATAAATAAAAAAAAAAGCATTCTTAATAAGAAATAACAATTATTCACAGAGAAAAAGAGTAATGGAAGGTCTTTCAAATTTTTCCTGTATAGTCTATGATGCAAATAACAAGTTCTTTAACTACATGCTTGAAATAGCAAAGAATGTATCTACACAATGACATTGCAACTTCAACAAATCATAATACAAGATTACAATTATCTGGATCATCTTCAATACATCTATTTTTTTGCATGGGCTTAGAGTTCATCAATAGAGTTTGAGTGTATTTGGCCTTGCACGGTACCCTTGCAAGTGTTAGACGAGCTCAAACGTTCAAACCATACCTCGTCAGCCTGAAATGAGTCGGACTCGTTGTTCCGGTGCCATGACCAGCGGGCATGCGTGTTGTTATAAATCCTCAACCGACCATGTCCGAAGCTTGGCTCCCGATAGAGTGATATCGAGGGACTCGGATTCTCAAAGCTTCATCACATCAAATAAAGTAAGGATATATAAAATGATATAGCAATTCTTTAACAAAATCAATGAAGAATCTGAACAAATTTTTCATTTGAAGTAAGCATATAACTAGTGTGTGTGCGTGCGCCAATCAACAAAGATGCAAAATTAATGGCCAAGTTTAGGAAAGTTGTTTAACACTCATTTACCTAAAAATTTTATCGGTTAGAAACGCTATACTATAAGTATTATTGTACTCTAACTCGTCCCTTGTATGCGTGCTACATTTTTAGTCAAATATGCAGTCTTTTAATCATTATGATGCTAATGAGATATGAGCACAAAACCTGATATTCTGATATCATGTTAAACATCCCGAATGTGTGTGTTTGTGCATTTGTGTGTGAAAGAGAGAGACAAAAAGAAGGCGCTTCAACTTTATTTTGTTCCCAAGCTAAGTTACGATATTTCAAAAACTCCAAAAAAATATATAATGTTTTATTTGCATGAAGTTTAGGGATCCATTAAAGCTCAAGTTTGCAAGAATACTTACTCTAAAGCAAGCCCTTCTCGGTTTCCTCCATCACCAATGGTCACATAGACCGGACCACATGGGTCAGCCTTGTTATCATAAACCCTAGTCTGAAATATTGACAAAGTAAAGCTATCACAAATATAGCCAAAATATTACTGTTAAATTTGGAGGAAGAACCATTCCAATTTCACATTTTTTAAACTTTTAATTCTAGCGTACGTTGTAGATAAACACTATCACTTGTAAATCGTGAATACACTAAAACAAAATTCCCTTGTAAGAGTCCAACTTAGAATGTTGCGATAGAAACTGATGAAGTCTTTTAATCTAAACTATCTAGGTTGATTTAATGCAGCAACACAGTATGGAAATAAGATTAAGGACTTACAAAGCGCTCATAGGCATGAACATGTCCTGCAAAAACAACGTCAACTTGTGCCTTATACAACATCTCTTCCATAGCTTTCCTCATGCTCTCTCCTTCTCCTTTATGGGCAGAGTTAGTATTGTACCAAGGTGCATGGAGGAGAACAAGGATCCATGGCGTCTTTATCCTATCAACTTTAGCCAAGTCAGCCTTGAGCCACTTGTACTGATCCGAGCTAGCATCGAAATCAGTGTAGGATCCCAGCATGACAATGTGGGTCCCAGCCACATCAAATGAATAGTATAGGTTTGAATTGGAACCACTCTCTTGGTATGGCATTAACCATCTTGCATTGTATGCTCTGAATCCATGGGGGTAAACGATTGGGAAGGTTTCGATTTCGTGGTTGCCTTCGGTCACCATCCATGGCCGAATGCTCGCGTATGGCTCGACTAGGCGTCCAAATGAGTCCCAAAGGGGCTGTTGTGTATCAGCATACGAAAGATCACCAGGTAACAGGAAGACATCGTAGTCCTCTGCTGCAACATGTGCTAGGGTTGATGCAGTCCATTCTGTCTGCCCTAGGTCACCTAGTTCAACCAACAAACGATTGTCTTATGAACAGGCACAAATGGGAAACATAGTCACTAATGGAGTGGGAGTATGCGGTTTATAAAGTCTCACGATGAGAACTGAGCTACTGAGATTTGACCATATCACTGACCCATTTAATGATACTGTTATACATTACTATTTCATAGAATCCTGATTACTATATTCTCATCGAGCGCGTATGATGCTTTCGATCTGGTGGTTAAGGTGGGGTTTGAATAATTATTGATGGATATGGTGTAATTTTCAATCATGGGCTATCAAAGAAAATAATAAACAACGTAATAGACCAAATTTTCAAATTGGGCCAGAAGTTTCAAGACAAGCCTGTCTATATCTGAGCAAATCCTGGCATGATAGGTTTTGCACTCATGAATTTCGAGATATTCCGAAATATACCTAAATATTTTTTACACCCTTCACGAATCAAATTAGTGGTGGACGAAAGAAAAAGAGAAAAAAAAAATCAGGCTCTTTATTTTCCCAAATATGCAAAATCTAGGTAAACCTGTTCATAGAAGAGGCCAATAGTCTGGGTCGTGATAGATAGAGTGTGAGCTATCTTTTGAACATTGAGACAACCCATCCAAGTATATTCAACCCAAGCAATCCAATTTTTGGTGCTTAAGCTAATATGATTCATCCTATTTCCATAGTTGTTAAACCCATACCCAGCTGTCGACTAGAGAAAAGGACTGAGCTAATACGTTATTGGTTCAACTATTGGGTTAGCAGAATTAAAATGTCAAACTATAGAAAAAACTAAACTTTCATTAAAATCTGAGTTTCGGAATTGTAAGGCTCAATACTAATTTTAATTTGAGAATCGAACATGCATATCAACTTTAATTGTGTAACCCAAAATTCAATTCACGTTCAAAAAAACTAATCATGGCTCATATTCAAGTTAAAAGGTTCAGATTGAAGGTCGGATTTAGACTGAGTTTCGAGTTGAAGGTTTTATTGGAACTATATTGAGAAGGCATCCGAGGGTAAGGATATAGCACTAATGCGTGTATCAAAAGAGAGGTGTAAAAAGAAACATGTAACTCAAGTATGAGGGGTCCATAAGCCACTGTCGCCTAGCCATTTCACTACTGTCTTTGCCTAGCGCATGAATGAACCCTGTTTGAAAGTAACTTAGCAAATTTTAACAGAATGCAGCAAAGTCCACGCAATAGAATGCGTAAAGGTAAAGTTCCAAGTATATTTGTGACTCACCAACCACAACAAATTCAATAGGCAATGTTGAAGGAGGTGTCCTGAAGGAGAACTCGGGGCTAGAACCACCGCACCTGTAATAATATGTCGTACTTGGATCCAATGGTCCGATGGTGACGTGGTGAATCTTATTAGAGCTGTAAAAAAAATAAGTATACGATGTATCATGTCCCGTTGCTGAGGCTTCATATCTCCCTGATATCTTTCCATAATCAACGGTCGACGGCATGTGTTTATCGGAGGAAATCCATGACACCCTCATGTGATCTTTCCCGGCCAATGATATGTGAACCTAAAATGATTCAAGTAAAAGTACAAAACAATTATCAATTATTGTACCTTAGAGATTATCATGAAAGAGAGTGAGAGTGAGAGAGAGGACCTGTTGAGGGGCGGAGTCCGATCGGGTGTTCGTGGAGAAGATGAGTGGGCGGGGAGGTTGGCGAGTGTATTCCGGCGAAGCATGTGATTGCACAAGGAACTGAGGGAAGAAAAAGATGGTGAAGAGGAAGACATGTGACCACCGTTTCTCCATTGTTGGCTCCAACGTTGGAGGGATGGGCATACGAATTCCTTACTTATATAAGGAAGGGTTTAAGAATACATATATATATATATATATATATATATATATATAAATATATATATATATAATATTAAGGATTGCAATTGCTTGAAGTAATCCCGTTGAAAAAATACTTGGATATGCTTCTAGGAATGGCCACACAAAAATCTGTCGTTTCTCTACTTACTTTACTGGTGTAGCTAGGATCGGACCACTTAGTACAGACAGGTGCTTTTTTTGATAAGACAGGTGCATTTACTATGGAACTTGACGATATTTAAAACAATTCTCAAGTATGATTTCGGAAGTGGAGGTCAGACGCACAGAGTTCATAAAATTAGAGTAAAGTCCAGCTCAATTGAAATAGCAGCAAAAATAATAAAGAGATAGTTATTTGTCAACAAAAATCCTAGAGGCATCAAAGAGTCATAATCGAAGCATAAAACTCTCATCCAGAAAAGATCTCTTCCTAAGATCAAGGAGTATTCCTCGGATAAATGGCGAAGATCTCGGGGCAGATCCCGCAGAATTAGGAAAAGCCCTATAAATACTATGTAACGCCCCCAACAGAGGGACGAAACCCTAGTATCACATCTTACATTCGGTAAACCTTTTGGTATAGTAAATAGTGAAGGAAGGAGCAAAAATCTCCATTGAATAGTGGATTAACCGAGCTCCCGAGCTGGTGAACCATTATATTTCTAGTGTGTTAATTCTCCAACTCCCTAACAATTCTCAGTATCATTCCCTCGAGTCTAGTAGCTCAGATCCCAATAATTTCAATATTGTTTATTTCATTTACTCGTCATCACAAAATTGCATCACGTTAAAATACACCATCAGTTTGGCGCCGTCTGTGAGAAACGACTATTCCTGTTATAAATAAACTGATCTTTCAGTGACTGATGGTATCAACGCGAAACATGAGCCGAAGTTAGACAAATCCACCATGGATGCAAGATCAACAAGAAGCTACTAATAGCAGACAATCTGAAAACGTCCAAGAGACCAATCCACCCGTGAGGGGTCTCCCCATGAATAACGAGATGAAGGCCCTTTGCCTCGTCAATCAACACTTGCTGAAACAAAATGAAGAACTCTTAAAACTCTTACAACGCCCACAAGAGGCGCGACAGGCTTAAGAAGGCCAGAACAACCCATTACCTAGGGAGCAATCACACCTCGACCCCCTCAGGTAAGTCAATGAAGAAGGGAAAAATAGCCAAACCATGGGGCCAGAAGCTCGCATACCCTCCCAGGAATGGACACAACGAAGAAATACAAAGTCAGAATGACAGGGGCGAGAGGAACGATTTTTTCCCCTATCAACAGGAAAGGAGAGAATGGTATTGGGAGTAGCGCTTCTAGTGTATCTAGCAAGAACTCAGTCACATGAAAGAAGCCGTGAGAGGCAAGGCTCCAGTTACGATGGATGCCTTGGTACAACAAACTGAATCTCTGTTCACCACTGGTGTGCTGCATTTTCCCCTCCCTTTGAAATTCAGAGTACCACAGATAGAGGCTTTTGATGGAACAAAAGTTCTTGTAGATCACCTCAACACTTACAAGAACCAGATGAAGTTGCATGGATACTAGGATCCAGTGCGCTGCAAAGCCTTTGCCATCACGCTGAAAGGCTTAGCCCTAGTGTGATTCAATAGGCTCCCCTACCTTAATTTCCTCCTTTGAGGAGCTATACATATCCTTTATATCTCACTTCATAGGAGCTCGAACATACAGAATGCCGAGTTACCACTTGTTGAATGTGAAACAGAGACCCCAAGAGAACTTCAGATCCTATGTTCAGAGGTTCAAATCTGAATCACTAAAACTGGATGTTCCAGACGAGAAATTTGTCATTACTGCATTCATAGCTGGTTTATGTGTACAATCTAAAGACCTGATGTTCTCTATTTCGAAAAATTCCAAGGCCAGCATGGCCGAAGTACTGGCCAAGGTAGAAAAGTACATAAACGACGAAGAAGCTCTCCTCTCAAAAGTGGGGAGCTCATCCATGCAAAAAGACAAAGGAAAATAAGAGAAAAAGAGAGACCGAAATCCCAGAAAAGAATGAGGTCGAGATAGGTCCCCAAAGAGAGACAAAGATCGATCCCCAAAAAGAAGGGGAGACGTCAGAGATCACTAGGGACCACCTCATCCAGAGTTGCAGCCGTGGTACGCACCTCGGCAGGTCCCTCCACTCACCGCAAATATATCGCAAATCTTGTATGAGGTACAAAACAAAAAATTTCTAAGGTGGCCATCCTGAATGAAAACAGACCCAGCGAAAATTTTACCCCACTTTTGGAATGCATAACATCTTAGAAAATTTTTTTCAGTAAGTTTGTCCTGTAATATGATTATTAATAAAGCAGCAAGTCTGTGGTTCATTCATTCTTACGAAGAGCTCGGGAGCTCACGACGAACTCATTAGTCCGTAATAAGAGCCTTAGAGCTCACGATAAACTCGTTAGTTCATAAAAAGAGTCCGGGAGCTCACGACAAACTCATTAGTCCGTAATAAGAACCTTAGAGCTCACGATGAACTCGTAAGTTCATAAAAAGAGCCTTGGAGCTCACGAAGAACCCATTAGTTCATAAAAAGGGCCCTGGAGCTTACGACGAACTCGTTAGTTCATAAAAAGAGCCTTAGAGCTCATGACGAACTCATTATTCCATAAATAAGAGCCTTAGAGTTCATGATGAACACGTTAGGTCATAAAAGGAGCCCTAGAGTTCAGGACGAACTCGTTAGTTCATAAAAAGAGCCCTAGAGCTCACGACGAATTCATTAGTTCATAAAAAGAGCTCTGGAGCTCATGACGAACTCATAGTTCATAGAAAGAGCCCTGGAGCTCACGATGAACACGTTAGGTAATAAAAAGAGCCCTGGAGCTCATGACAAACTCTTTAGTTCATAAAAAGCGTCTTAGAGCTCACGATGAACTCGTTAATTCATAAAAAGAGCATTGGAGTTCACAACAAACTCGTTAGTTCATAAAAAAAGCCCTGAAGCTCACGACGAACTCGCTAGTCCGTAATAAGAGCCTTAGAGCTCACGATAAACTTGTTAGTTTATAAAAAGAGTCTTGAGCTCACGTTGAACTTTTCAGTCCATAAAAAACTCAGTAACTCAGGACGAGTTCTTTTGTCCCTAAAGCAAACGCAACAGCTCAGAATGCGCTTCCCGATCCAGAA